CCCCCCACCCTTGACTGCACAAGTTCTTAAAGCACCCCCCACCCCATGCTCTTTTTTAAAGTTCACCAAAGAAGAAAACTATCTTGATTTAATTCTAAATCCTATAAATAATCCATTTGTTCAGCAGCAAAATTAGACATATATAAAAATATAAACACACACACATATATATGTATATATATGTATATATATATCTGGGGTGTGTCATCATGCAATAAATTGATGGGGAATTAGTAGAGTGTTTTAGATATGGAAGCAACTCAAATGCTCAACTGCAGATGGACCAAGCAGATGTGGTACGTACACACACACACACACACACACACACACACACACACAGAGTGGAGCACTATGCAGCTGTGAAAAGGACAAACTCATGCAATTTACCATGATGTAGACGGAAGGGAGCTATACTCACCACAATACCACCAACGCACACTCACGACATGGATGGAAATAGAGAGTGTCATGCTGAAATCAGTCAGAAGAAAAGGGATAGATGCAGAATGATCTCTCATATGCAGGATTTAAAGATACACAGAAAAGGAGCAACAAATGGCCACAGGCATAGAACTGGAGAACTGGTTCACAGAACTGAGATTATAAGGGGGTGTAGGGTTGTGGGGGAGGGAGTGTGGATTTGAAAGGGAGGGGTCTTTGGGGCCTTGGTGGAAGGAAGTAGGTCCTCTGCAATAGCTCCAGCTCCGAGCACAGAAGGCACTTAAAGGCTTCCTGTGCTCTCCACATTCTTCTTCTTTTTTTTTTTTGCCTACACTTGACAATGTTCAGGGTTTACTCCTGGCACTGCACTCAGGAATCACTCCTGGCGGTACTTGGGGAACATAAGGGATGTCAGGAATTGAGCCTGGGTCGGCCTCATGCAAGGCAAATGCTCTACTTGCTCTGGCCCCCAATGTACCACATTCTCACTGATTATCATTTGGTAGGTTATTTTCAGGTTCTGGCAACACTCTCACCATCTCACCATTAGTTTATATGAAAAGGTTTGGGGAGGAGGAGGGGTTTGGAGCAACACCAGGGGCCCCAACCTCGGGGGCTAATCCTGGCTCTAAGCTCAGGAGTGACCCCGATGGTGCCTGAGGGGCCAAACATGGTGTGGAGGATATAGGTGGCTGGCTTGCACACAAGGCAGGCACTTCATCTCCTGTACTACTCATGACAAATGTTTTGTCCCTACTCAGATCCCAATAATAACTTGTCCAATCCTACCAAACGAGAATGCTCAACCTCAGCAGAGTGGAGAGACCTTTATTTCGGTATTTATGGATCCTCCCCAAAGTCGTGACCCTGTCTCACCTGAACAATCGATAGGTCTCTGCTAAGTAGCTGTTCATGGAGGAGAGGTGCTCATTCTCGCCTTCAAACAACTTGTTGGACGCAGCGTGCTGCAGAACCTTGGCCACTGAGCCCAGGTTTCTCCTCTGGTCCGAACTGATCTGACCCCCGGCAGTCATGTCAATCACATCAAAGCCGTCCGGTGCGACGATGGTTGGATTCATGTACCGGTAGTATAAGAGATTTCCCACGATCTACAGTCATGTGGAAGCAAAGACTTTTAATAAAAGTTTCGGATTATTCTGCTAAAGTCGATATTCATTTTTACTTTATATTCATTTTCAGGATAGGAGATCATCTTAGGAATCCTAACAAGGAATTAAGTAAGGGAAGTGAATGTAATCACACATTACTAATACAATAAACCAATTTTTTTTGGGTAAAAAATTATGCACAGTGCCTTTGAAATAGAAGCTCAGCATATGAGGTATCCAAGTGAACTCAGGACAATCAATAATCTTAATAATCACTGGAAGTAGAAAACCTATAGATTGTAAGCAGTTATACCTAAGGAAAAAAATTCTTACGAACTGCTATGTTAGTAATTAATTCTTTGGCGAGATAGGCAGTGCTGGGGATTGAACTCAGGATCCTACAGACTGCAAGAAGTAGCAGTGAGCCACAGTCCCATCCCTCCCCCGCCCCCAGGGAATGCTATGGTGAGATTCCCAGTGAAGGTCTACCTTCAATAGCTCATCTTCTGTTGCATCGGGAAATTTCGCATGGATGGAATTCTTCAGGACTTTGGCTATATACCTCAATCCATAACTACGCGTGAGACATGGCAAAAGAAAAGCATGGAAAAGGGCTAAGTGAGGAAGAGAACACAGCAGCAACTATTCCAACCAACCAAAGTGGAGCAGGCTTCCTAAAAATCAAACATAAAATGAGATGACAGCGGAGCCCCAGGCCTGGCACTGGGGTGGGGGTGGGGGTGGGGGGTTCCGTCCCTCACTACTGCTGGCTCTGTTTCTCTCCAGAGCACAATGATGACGAGGAATTTAAATTGCCAAGTGGCAGCACACCTTCCCTGCACTGAGCGTGCTCCACCGGGGGCATGCCTTTCTTCACTGGAGGGGGTTATGTTACCCAGGACTGCACAGCTCTCAGCAGAGGATGTTGCTACACAACTTACGGCAGCAGGTCAAGGTTAGAAATGATGGAGTTCAGGACTTTGCTGGTGACGGCTCTCAGGTTCTCAATGGAGGCCTCCAGCTTATTTTTCACCTCCTCGTGTGACAGCGCTTGCTCTGTGGTGACGTCGTAAGGCAGTTTGCTGAAACACAAGAAGGGCTTTCAGGGAACTGGCGGTGCAGGCACAAGCACGGGAGCTAGTGCATGGTCAAGCCTTGGGATAAGTGGACTGTCTGGACACCCTGAGTGACTGTTTGCGCTTGTCCAGCTGGCATCCTTCCTCCATGCCCAGAGCAGCGGGGAATATGGGCTCTCCCTCTGGGTGCTGCTGGCAAGGGAACAGGTGGAGCGAGGTGAGGCAGATCCAGCTAACTTTCTGTCTTTAGTTAGTGGTGGGGGTCTTTGCTAGTGATAATGGGAACAAGCAAATATGCTCAACACAGGAAAAAAATGCATATAAATGACCAAGAAAACAGAACTTAGATACAAACTTTTTTTGGTTTTGTTTTGTTTTGTTTTGTTTTGTTTGGAGGGTTACACTTGGTGACACTCGGGGGTTACTCCTGGCTCTGCATTCAAGTATCTCCTGGTGGGGCTTGGGGAACCATATGGGATGCTGGGGATTGAACCCAGGTTCACTGTGTACAAGGCAAACACCCTATCCGCTGTACTCTCACGCCAGCCCCTAGACACAACCATTTTTTGTATATCTCTGCTTAGCTTTTGAAGGTCCTATGCTGATGTTTTTTAATTTAGAAAATGAGTTGTTATGCTTAACTACCACGGAAAACCACACCATGAGCATTTATTTCTCCATGCGGGTAAACAGATTTTGCCACTATCCCAAATAGTTACTTATGGCTCTATTATGTTATACAAATATTGTTTTAAACACGTTTCCCAATGCAAAATATTTTGACTTTCCTCTATATCTTATCATTACAAATAGTCCCGTGTGATTCCCACAGTACATCTTTATTTCCCAAGGCCATCTTTTACAGGAAACAAAAGACCGGGGCTGTTTAAAGATTTATAAACCACCCCCTAGACCTAGAGTTTCCCAAAGTTGGGGCTGGATGTGGATGTGCTAGGAAAATTTCAGGTTGGGGGAGGGAGGGGTGGGTGCAGTAGGAGTCTCAGATACAATTGGGGGGGAACTGTTGATCTGCTTAAAGAAGGCAGAGTTCCAGGAGGGCAGTAAAAGATTTGTATTTTTGCCCCCAACTGCTCTATGCCCGAGCTATACCCCTAGATCTTGATTTTTATTTTTTGCCCCTGAAAAGGAAGAGTAGGTCAAATGAATTTGGGATTATCAGCCCCAACTAAACCAGGCTGACTTGGCTTGTTAATGCTTATACATTAAAGCTAATCACTTGGTTTCCCCCCAAAAAATATGTATTTTCAGGTTAAGCTACAGTTTCTAGGCCTAAATTTAGAAACATAAAGAATGATGAAGACAGAGAATGAAGGATGGTGTGGTTTTGGGGTTCAACTGGCATTAAATGTGAAAACACCATGTGATAGCCAGAAGAGAAAGAATCCAAGAATGTGATCTGAACAGACACAGTACAGGGCGGCAATTCTTGGACTGAAAACTGCATGAGATTGTGTTCTTCTCGCAGAGCCTAAACGGGTGTGTTTCTGGAAAGAGGTTAATAACACATGGCTCATGCCAACAGCACAGTGCCTGTTACCTGGCCTCCCCTGTCTGGCTCTCGAGTTGGTTCACCCAGGCCTTGTACACCTCTACGGGACTGGTGTTGATGATGAGGGCATGGTCATCCAGGATGTCCTTCAGCACTGGAGCCAGCAGCTGGCGCAGTGTGTTCTGCCCGCGGGTACCTCGGTTGAAGCTGATCACCATTTTGATGACTGTCGGGTTCCCCGTGACAATGTCTTGTGCCTGATCCACCTTTGATCTGAAACAAGCCCAAACCAAAATAAGACTGTTTGCCTCTTCAGATCCTTGTTTTATTTGAAGTTTTAGCCACACTAGTGATGCTTATGTGGGAATACTGGGCTTGTTCCTCCGGGTTCATTGAAACCAAACCTGGCGCCTCTGTCTGAAAAGCGTGCACTTTTGACCATTAGCTGTTTTCCCAGCTCCAAGATAAGAGTTTCAAACTCTATCTATCTATCTATCTATCTATCTATCTATCTATCTATTTTTTGTGTTGTTTTTGAACCACACCCGGCAATGCTCATGGGTTACTCCTGGCTCTGCACTCAGGAATTATTTCTGGTTGTGCTTGGGGTACCATATGGGATGCCAGAAATCGAACCTGGTTGGCCACATGAGATGCAAACATGCCACCCACTGTATTATCGCTCCAGTCCCAACAGTATATATTCTTTCTGGGAGGCAAGACTTTTTTTGGTAGGTTTCTACTTTTCTCCATGAAGATTGAATCAGTCACTTGTTAGATGAGTGTTTTAGGTATCCAATGCATTGAGGGGATCTTCCATTGGGCTATCAATACTCTATTTACTTTTTAACCAATTTACCCCCAAGGGACACCCCCCTTCCTTGCAGTACTGCAATGCCAGGCTGATGTGGGAACTGGAAAAAACAACGTCCTAGTCCAGCTCCCCACTCCAAAAATCCATACAAAATGTTGTTCTTTGATAGATGATGTATCAGATATTAAACTGGAAGGAACAGGTACTATACTTTATCTTAGACAAAGGCTGAAAAGCCATCAGTATAATGATTATTTTTTTTAAATATTTGGGTCATGCTCAGCTGTGCTCAGGGCTAACTCCTGGCTCTGTGCCCAGAGATGATTCCTGATGACGCTCTGAGGATCATATGGGGTGCCAGGAATCAAACCCATATGGGCAGCAAGCAAGGCAAGAGTTTCACCCACTGAAGTCTCTTCTCTGGCCCGGACATAGTCTTTAAAAAACTGACGAGTTTTTTAAATGAGCAAAAAGCAGCTCAAGTTCCGGTAAGAAGGGAAGACAATTGAGCAGAGTTGCAACTATGTTTTCTCACTTTCAGTCATTTTTTTGATTTTTGGTAATTGCTAATTCAAAACTAACATCAGAAAAGGTATCAATGGTAGGAGAAGTTGTGGTAAAGGTTGTACCCAAGTATGAGGATATTAGAAATTTCTCAGGTATTAATATATTTTGGGGATGAGAGGTAGTACAGGGGTTAAGGAATTTTCTTTGCTCACGATCCTTGGCATGACTGATGGTTTCCCAAATATTGCCAAGAACGACCCCTGAACACAGAGCCAGAAGAAAGTCTGAGCTTGCACCACTGTAAGTAAAAGAATTCAATATATTTTAACATGAACCAATAACTTACAAGAATACTTTTTGAGTTATCTTAATAATCAGAGTTAGTCACAACAAAAGGAGCTATTCATTCTGATTTTAATCCTCTATTTATATACATACTTTATTTCTTCTTCCAGAGCGGTTTTAAAAAGCTTCAGGAGTAGAAATTCTTCTCGTTGGTTAGAAGCATAATTATATAGTGTGAAAATAACAGTATCCATAAACTTAGTCGACTTGTTCTGTGGCATCTGGAAAATCAGCTTAGCCAGGTATAATGGATTGGTCTTTTAAAAAGAGAAAAAAAGAAAAAAAATCCATGAAACTGTGCTAATATCTTAAATTGGAGAGAAGTACTCAATTTTGTATTCTTTACATATGTAACGGCCCTCCCGTTGATCGTCGATTTGCTCGAGCTGGCCCAGTAACGTCTCCATTGGAGACTTTGTTGTTACTGTGTCTGGCATATCGAATACTCTCGGTAGCTTGCCGGGCTCTCCGAGAGGGGCAGAGGAATCGAACTCGGGTCGGCCATGTTGGCCGCTTGTAAGGCGACCGCCCTACCCGCTGTGCTATCGCTCCAGCCCTATACACATATGTGTACACAAATGTAAGGAAGAGTACCTGGCATAGAGTGAGGATTTAAACATTACCAGGAAGGTACAGTAAAAAGTTACAGTAAAATATATGCCACATGATCTACCTAATGCCATATATTTCACTATGTACACTTTACTCTATTAACTGTTTTGAGTCACATGTTGGTCTTACAGAGAGAAGGTGGCCAGTATGAAGTGGATGAGTTTAGTAAGAACAGACGAAGAACCAGCTACATCATTATCCTAGAAGGATTAATAAATGAGAAGGGGGTAAACCCCTGATTCAGGGAAGGAAAGGGAAAGACTGCTTCTGTGGTGACGGGAGCTACACCATGATTTCCAAGTACAGATGTAAGGCAGGAAGCTGAAGGAAGAAGTAACTGTCAGGAGAGTAGAGAGGGAAGACAGAAGAAATCACCAGTTTAAAAAAAATTCTAAGAGATTGAAACAAATTTTCAGGAATTGTCAGGAAGCTCTGAGGCCTTAGAATGGGATGGAATTCATCCAATGTTGAACCAGGCTTCTTAAGAATATGGGTTTTGGGGGTTGGAGCGATAGCACAGCGGGTAGGGTGTTTGCCTTGCACGCAGCCGACTCGGGTTCGATTCCCAGCAACCCATATGGTCCCCTGAGCACCGCCAGGAGTAATTCCTGAGTGCATGAGCCAGGAATAACCCCTGTGCATCACAGGGTGTGACCCAAAAAGAAAAAAAAAAGAATATGGGTTTTGGCATGATTGGAAATAGTCAAACTGCATGAAATGACCAGGAATGGAGAAGGGAGTATGTGAATCCCAGCTTGATAAGAATTCTTTTTTTTAATACTGCTTCCCTGACTGAAATTATTGTTTACCTGATCTTTGAGTGTTAATGTTTGGCTAATTAGGTTTTTGCCTAAATCAGTTCTTGTCCTATCATCAGTACTTCCTATTGCATATACTGATGTGTTACCAGATAGAGGGAAAATATTGGAGATAGACTATATTTTATATGTAGGTTTATGTACTGTTGGGGGTGTTTTTATTGTGCTGTTTTGGACATAATAAAGAATTAATTCTCTGTTAAGGCTATGTTCTTAACCCAAGTAAGATTGTTTACAAAATCCCATCTGACAAGTACCCATTGTCTTTGTACCAAAATATTTTTAGACACTGCCAAATTTATTAAAAGCAATTAGTATAGTTTTTACACAACGAAAGCAATAATATGAAAGATTAGAAGAGGTTATGAAAAGATCTATTATAAAACTGGGGGAAAGGATTGTTAAGACTAAAGAAATAGTAAAAATCTTAAATAAAAAAAAAAGAATATGGGTTTTGAGGACTAGACAGTACAGGGGTTATGTACAGGGGTTAAGAATCCTGCATTGTATGCAGCTGACCCTGGCTCAATCCTCAGTAGTACATGAATGTCAGTAGTACATGCCCTACCATGAATGATCCCTAAGTACAGCTGGGTATCCAACCCCTACCCAAATGCCCCCATCCTCCATGCACAAAGAAATATCAGATTTTTCTCGTAGCTGCATCAAACAGGTGGAGAGAGAGAACACTGTTTAGATTATAAGAGAAAGTATTTTACAGAGAATTTTGATATTATGCCTCCCTTCTGAGGAAAAGAGAAAAAATTATTATTCATCTAATATAATCATGCAATTTCTTTTGTTTTTTGGGCCACACTTGGTGCTGCTCAGGGTTCATCCTGGCTCTACACTCAGAGGTCATTCCTGGCAGTGCTTGGGGGACCATATGGGGTGTTGGGGATTGACACTCGGTTGGCTGTGTGCCAGGCCAGAATCCTACCCACTGTGCTATTGCTTTGGCTTCTACCCAGGCAACTTGGCTCTGAACTATTAAATTCAGTTTTACCTCATTACTTGGATTTACTTTCAAAATTCCTGGGCTGGAGCGATAGCACAGCAGTAGGGCATTTGCCTTGCACGTGGCCAACTTGGCTGACCTGAGTTTGATTCCTCTGCCCCTCTTGGAGAGCCCGGCAAGCTACCAAGAGTATCTCACCTGCACGGCAAAGCCTGGCAAGCTACCCATGACATATTCGATATGCCAAACACAGTAACAACAAGTCTCACAACAGAGACATTACTGGGCCCGGTCCAGCAAATCGATGAACAACGGGAGAACAGTGCTACAGTGCTACTTTCAAATTCATAATGATGAAATGTTATAAATAACCAGCTTGGGGCAACTTTCTATAGCTCTGGAGCTATTCTTTCCCCACCTAGAAAGATGGTTATGAGAAAGGACTGTAGCACAGTAGCACTGTTCTCCTGCTGTTCATCGATTTGCTCGCACGGGCACCAGTAATGTCTCCATTGTGAGACTTGTTACTGTTTTTGGCATATTGAATATGCCACGGGGAGCTTGCCAGGCTCTGCCATGCGGGCGGGATACTCTCGGTAGCTTGCAGGGCTCTCCGAGAGAGACGGAGGAATCGAACCCAGTCGGCCACGTGCAAAGCAAACAAGTGCCCTACCTGCCGTGCTATCGCTCCAGCCACACTCCAAACAAGAGAAGTCAGCTAGGCAGATTTCTTAGAAGACCCTAAACTTTGGCACTGAGGTTTATTCTAAAGAGCCTGTCTCCAAAGCCAAAGCTATTAGCTAAGAGTTCTTGCCAGGCCACAGTTAATCAGGACCATTTGACTTTCTGCCATTTCTTCATTGAGCTCGGGCCAACACAAAAAAAGTGGAGAAAAAGGAGACTTCACTTGGTACAGATGAATAAATGGCAGCACCCCAACAAGTCACTTTTGGATTTCATGAGGAACAGGACACAGGGGACTTATCCTCAACATGCTCCTGCTCTCCACCCCCCTTCCCAATTATATAAGAGGGCAAACAATACAGGTTTTAGAACAATGACTATATTTTCGCCTTTTTTTTAAATAAAAGATTACCATTTCCATTCAAAATGTCACACTAGAAAACAAAATTCTAAAACGAAATCCCCATATAGTAGGAAGTTCATAGATGTTAAAAAGAAGTAGTACCTCTACATGTTAAGAGAAATGAGTCAGAAAAAGCCGGGTAGACACAGAAAGATTGCATTCATCTGGGGAACATAAAGTAACAAAATAGGAGACTTTAACACCCAAGAGTGGCCGAGATTAGTACCAGGAATTTTGCTCCATGACTTGGAGGCCAGCCACACGTGCTAGGGGGAAAAGGGAGCTCAGATAGAGAAGGGAGCACCAAATAAAGGGTGTTGGGAGGATCCTCCCAGGGTGGGAGAAGCATGCTGAAAGTAGACTATAGGCCAAACATGATTGCCACTCAATGCCTCTCTTGCAAACCACAGGACCCAAAAGGAGAGAGAACAAAAGGGAATGCCCTGCCACAGTAGCAGGGTGGGATGGGGGGATGGGGGGTGGGAGGGATACTGGGACCCGTGGTGGTGGAGAATGGGCACTGGTGGAGGGATGAGTACTTGATCATTGTATAACTGAAACCCAAGCACAAAAATTTGTAAGTCTACAACTGGACCTCATGGTGTTTCACTAATTAAAAAAAAAAAAAAAGAAGTACCTAACATTACATTTCCAACTGGTGCATGGCGACTCATCTAATTTATACAGACAAAAAAAGAAAATCAACCTTTCCTGCCCCTGAGAAAAATCTTTCGTGTGTAGGGGCAGAAAGCTGTGGACTAGAGTGCTTACTCTGCATGCAAGAGACCAGGGACCGTAAGTATTTCCCTTGAGTCCTTGGTCCCTGAGGGGCACTTTTTCTGCTCCAGGTGCGTTTCTCTTCTCTGAACTTGGTGGTTAAGCAGTAAATACTGCCACATAGTGGCCAAGTGTG